TCAACCTGTAGTTTATATGGGATTTATACTTAGTACGCACGTTCATGAAATTTTGTATAAGTCCCAACTCAAAAGAAGTGAGATAAAAATATAAATAAAAAGAAATGTAATTACAAAATGAGATCTATATATTTTTAAAATGGGATAAATGTGATATAAAGGTTTATCTTACGAGGCTATAACTAATTTATTGCACATATTGTACCCATTCTGATATATATATATATTTATATGTAGACGTCCATCTTTGCTATCTATTTGTTTCCAGAATTCTTTGACCTTTTCTTGCGCAAAAATCGACAATCTAAAATAAGAGAATCACAACAATTCGAAAGGCATTGTACGTGGCGTGTTAAAACAATCTAAAATAAGAGAATCACAACAATTCGAAAGGCATTGTACGTGGCGTGTTAAAACAATCTAAAATAAGAGAATCACAACAATTCGAAAGGCATTGTACGTGGCGTGTTAAAACAATCTAAGGTAAGATAAACACAACGATTCGAAAGGCATTGTACGTGGCGTGTTAAAACAATCTAAGATAAGATAAACACAACGATTCGAAAGGCATTGTACGTGGCGTGTTAAAACAATCTAAGATAAGATAAACACAACAATTCGAAAGACATTGTACGTGGCGTGTTAAAACAATCTAAGATAAGATAAACACAACAATTCGAAATGCATTGTACGTGGCGTGTTAAAACAATCTAAGGTAAGAGATACAGAACAATTCGAAAGGCATTGTACGTGACGTGTTGAAACAATCTAAGATAAGAGATGTCATTCTACTGTTATTAAAATATTTTTCGTGAACAAAGAACGTACACCATTATACTTGACTTGCCGAAGTTGAGTTGTAGTAATCACGGCTTTTCTAGAACTTTGTTTACAAATATTAATAAATTATAAACTACATGAAGTAAACACATTGAATTTTGATTTACTTTTGAAAATATTTTTGCTAAATCTATATTTTATTTACCGTTAAACATTTGGAAATACATACATCAAAAAATTCTTGAATAAAGAGTGGATATTCGTCTGAGAGTATAGATATTTAACACTTTTTTGTATATTTACCTTGAAAAAATGGGTAATGTAGACGTTATCCGGTTTAGTATGCAAATGATAAAAAACTTGTTTTTGTTTACTGCCATTGTGAAGTAGAATCATTAGACTAGCCTAAGAACAATCACACCTAGGCAACAGACAAACAACGCCATCGTCCAACGTGAGCAGGAAATCAAATTAATTTTCGAAACATACTTTAGGTCTACTCCCACTTTTCGCGACGTTTAAAATTCTTAACGTGCGTATCCACGATGTGTGGATATTTCTTACTCGCCTTATATACGGGTTGCTAACATTTGCGTTGAAATAAACTTCATAGATAAAATACTTTTAATACTTGAAGGAGTACCCATTTCAACACTTGGTATGCGAAGGAGAATAGAAAATAGAAACGTGTATTCAATTTATATAATTATACATATATGTATACAAATACTTAGATATCTGTTTGAAATAATATATCTCAGCTCAATAATGTATATCGTGCATTCGACGGAAGAATTGACTAATTCACACATTTCCGACAGTATTCTGTAGCTGCCAACTATAGGGATTAGGTGTAAAAACACCAGAAGGTTGTTTTATTCATAAGCTCAAGAGTCAGAGATGTTGTGTACGAGTTAGGTGTGTGGCATCTTGTTTGAGATTTAGTCCAGTTGAACTCACGTTATTACGAAATCATTAATGTAATTGTTCAAGGTACCTATACATATATATATATATTTATATACAATAAACAATAGATTCTATGTCAGTTTATCAATAAAACGTTACTAAGCGAGTTGGATTATTTATTTCTGTTTACTTGGCGATTCGGAAAAGGCCCGGAATGGCCAGATGTATAGGGCTCTCGATTCGAAATCTGAGGGTCGCGGGTTCGAATCCCTGTCCCACCAAACATGCCCACCCTTTCAGCCGTGGGGGCGTTATAATGTGACGGTCAATCCCTCTATTCATTGGTAAAAGAGTAGCCCAAGATGACTAGCTTCCTTCCCTCTAGTCTTTCACTGCTCGGATAGCCCTCGTGTAGGTTTGCGCGAAATTCAAACCGATTCAGAAAAAGAAGTTATGAAGTAATCGCAGACAGAAATGAACCATAAGTGAAACTCTTCATACGCATATTCAAAAAGATGTATCGTATTTATTTGAAAATACTGTGTATATATATATATATATAAATTTCACGACCGTGTAGAAAATGAAAAACTCAATGAATTTGTTGAGACAAGTGCTTAAAATACTGTCTGTTTGTTTTTCAGCTGAAAGAAAACATTTTAAACATTCGTTTGGTTTGTTTGTTTGTAATTAAGCACAAAGCTGCACAATAGGCTATCTGTGCCCTGCCCACCACGGGTATCGAAACCCGGATTCTAGCTTTGTAGGTCCGCAGACATACCGCAGTGCCACTGGGGGGCCATTCGTTTGGCACATACTCATAGACACATGTTGCACTGTTATAACTGAGTATCCTGAACTATTTTATCCTATAACATCCCATTTATGATAGTCGTAATAATTAAGACAAACATGGTTACCTTTAAGTGCAGTGTTTTTTAACTTTTGCTTATATGTTATTATTATTATTAGATATTTGCGAAAGAGTATCTGACACCGTTTACATTATTTCTTTAGTTAGTGCTTTGTTTGTTTGTAATTAAGCACAAAGCTACACAATGGGCTATCTGTGTTCTGCCCACCACGGGAATCGAAACCCGGTTTCTAGCGTTGTAAGTCCGCAGACATACCGCTGTGCCACTGGGGGGCACTTTAGTTAGTATTTAGTGTTTATGACTCTGCAGGGGGGGAAGCTAATAACTGTTCTCAACAACAGTCTTGAACTGGCTACGTTAAGCGTTCGAACATATATTTGGAACTAATACGCTGAAATGTAGAAAATATATATATTATCTTAAATGCAGAGCTATGTTACATTACGATATAAAGTACAACACTAATAACATCAGAAACACTTTATTATGAAGAAAAACATTAATACCATAAACTTTATCTTCCATAGTTATTTAATAAATAGAAAAAGAGCTTCAGAATATCCAGCTGCTATTTTTTTCATAGCTCTTTACAAAGAAATCTCTTAAACAAACACTATACCTTTTTCATATGGCATTAATGAATTTACGTACTAACTAAAAGCTATAGCACGTTGTGCCTGGTACATCAAACCTTTGTCAACGGAGAATAATGTTCAGGAGTGTGCCGAGAAGCCCCAGTCTCATTATAAACAATACAAGAAAAACTGTCTTTTTGTTTCGTCTAACAATGGCACTTATATCATCGGCAAAACACGAGAGATATGTTTGTCGATAATCGTGTAACACGAAAAATATCTTACATAACAAAGTTATGATAAAACAAACAAACAAAAATGTTTCTTAGCCAGCGTGAAGAGCAACTGGGTTGCCTTGACGATATCTACGTTTGAATTCCATAGAACTGGTTAAAGTGTAATTATCTCTCTGTATCTAATACATTTATACACAGAGATATTCATGACCATATGAGTGGGTGTATGAAATATGAAAACATACAAAATACGTATCTATGTTTCCGAAACTAGCAGCTAACCACTACAAAATACATAACTATGTTTCCGAAACTAGCAGCTAACCACTACAAAATACATAACTATGTTTCCGAAACTAGCAGCTAACCACAAGAGCATTCTAGGGCACTAATTATATGATTTTAGCCTCTAATGCTTTATTCTTCAAACTTCTTAGTATTTAATCTTGTACATAGTGATGCGCCAGCTATTTGCGTTGAGGCTTGCCGATCGCAAATTTATTTTATGTTTGTAACGAACAAAACGTGTGTTCTCACTTACTAATTTGGGTGTTTCTAGTGACTACAAACCTTAAATACTGTTTACAATGTCTTACAAGTCCAAGTTAGAATTTAAACGTAATACAAAGAAAGCTTCCTGTGACTACTGTATTGGATTCTTTGTCTACTTATTGTAGACAAGACTACGTGTATCTCCAATAGGTTTGTTTGTTTGTTTGTTTTGAATTTCGCGCAAAGCTACTCGAGGGCTGTCTGCGCTCGCCGTCCCTAATTTAGTAGTGTATGACTAGAGGGAAGACAGCTAGTCATCACCAACCACCGCCAACTCTTGGGCTACTCTTTTACCAACGAATAGTGGGATTGACCGTCACTTTATAACGCCCCACAGCTGAAAGGGCGAGCATGTTTGGTGGGACGGGGATTCGAACCCGCGACTCTCAGATTGTGAGTCGAGTGCCCTAACCACCTGGCCATGCCGGGTCATCTCCAATAGGAGTCCAATATAAGTCCAATAGGAGAGCCCTACTATTCTGATATAAAATATAAAATAGTGCTTGAAAATTAATACTTCAAGACAATGAATCACATTTGTTTTTATCTTCATGCCAACAATATGTTTCCAGTTTTTTTAATAATGCAGTGGTAATGGACATGTTTCTTAAGATTACTTCCAAAGCTAAACGTTAGTCGCGAAGTCAATGTTTTATAGAAATGAAAGTTATCGTTGTGTAACCAACAATAAAACACGAAAACTGTTTGAAATAATCATTTTAACGCATAAACACAAGCAATTGAATTTACTAGTAAGGTATAACAACACCAAACTATTTATTATTTTGTAAAACAAAAGCTCAAATATAACAACTAAGATACATCTGTAAAAGTGATAAACATAAAGTAAGTATAATGATAAATTTAACACACAAAAATATTTACTCGTGATCGTTCTTTGTTTTTTTAATTACAAAGGCCCAAATTTAGAAAATTATTCTATGATTATTCCGAAGTTTGCTCTTTATCAAATTATTCATAATATATTAGTCATAAAAAATACGTTAAACGTACTTCTGGGACATGTATTATAGTTGGTATTCGTTCTGACATTTTTATTTTATTTTTTTCAGGACTACAGTTTTCCTTGTATTACTGGTTGGAGTAACCTGGGGAGCAGCTAGAAATCATTCAGATCAGGTGAGTTTATAACACAGAGGAAGGTCAGGTCACGCAGTAGGTGAAATTGCCACAATGTTAAAATGCTGCATTATAACTGAGATTGTTATAGAATTTAAAAGGTGAAATTTGAATGAATGAATATCAGATGCCACACTAGTCTAACGATGCAAATCTATAATTTAAAACTGGTTTATCAAGAAACTTCGGGAACATTAAATCAAACCACAGAAAACAATTTAATTTGACCTACTCGTTTTCAATGTTAACTTGTAATACATTTTACTTTTACAAAAAAATAAAAATATTCAGTTTCTCCCTTCAAACACGCACAGGAATGCTGCTCACCAATAAGACTGAAAACGACGTTGTTTCCTGAACTGATGAAGATAAAAGCTGTACAATACATATTTGTATTTATTAAAATAGTTAATGTCGAAACTGTTGCACTGTAATAGAAAGGATGCACAGAGACTGTAGGCAGTGTTTTGATGTGCTACAACGCAATGAATAACACATTTGCTGAATAACACGATTGCTTTACATCCAGATGGCCTAAATCTGAGGTTGATGTCGTATCGTTTTATGCTCGATTCAATAACGAAGATTTTCTTTTCTTTTTTTTTTATTAAACAGCATACACATTCGCGTGTGTGTAAAAGAGCTTGAGCTTTCCGAGCACATTTCTAAGTATGACGATAGACAAGAGGGTTCCAGTTTCTGAGCATAGAATTTCAGTACCGTAAGGCTACAAACACCACTATATCGATAAGTTTCGAAATCTCTCTCTTCTTTTCAGCTGTTTTTTCTTTACTTCATTCAGAATATCTCTGCAAGCTTAAAGAACAACTATCGCTTTAATTATAAAATGATTAAATGATACATAAAACTCTTTCATCCATTTACACACACACACACACAAATAG